AAACTGTAGGGATTTATGAGCAGGTGTGGCACTTAACTTGATACATAGTTATTTTTTTTAAATGACATTATAAAGTAATAACCTTTAAAATTAAAACATGATGTACTACCTGATCAGGAACCTCATTACAATCTAGATCAAGGGATTACACTTTGATTTGTCAATCTGAAAAAAAACAGATAATTTTTTTCTAATCTACTCTATCATTAGAGTGTATTTATGCCATCTACAATGTTATTACTTTCCTGTAATTTAGGGATACTTTAAATCATGGAGATTTACCTTAAACATTGTTTTTTTCAGATCTATAAAACCAAAGAAAGCCAGTCAGCCTGTTGTCCAAAAGCAGCAAATTTGAACCATTAAAATTACAATATAATCAAAAGGGCACTATATATTATACATACTAAGAAAGAAAGATTTATGCTTTAGATACTTTAGATATTCTATCAGAACAAAGGGAAAACATGAGACCAAATTTTTTTTTTAAAGGATTTTGATGAGAATATGTAGTTTGGAAGGAAGTAGTTTTCAGCCTCAAGGCAATGCAAGATTAACTGCTATTTTTATTTTAAAATAAAGATCAAATGCGTTATTTCCACAACTGCAAGCTCCTGACATTGATGACTAGTTTACCTACAGACTTCTCTTCATTGTTTGGCACCAGTGGAAGATGACAAATGCCAGGAACTTTAACAAAGTGGAAACATTATTTTAGGTATTCAAAAGACTGCAAAATACCTTTGAAAGTCTGTCTCCTGTCACAGGCAAATTTGAAAATCTTAGTTTTCACAAAGCCACATGTTCTTAAAATCTACGTTAATTTGACTAAATGTAACAGGACAGGATTAGAGCACACTTGCTGTGTTCAGTCATGTTACTATTCATACTTATTTCTGAAACTAAGTAATTTGTGGCTGTAAATAGGACATTTTCTAAAGGGGCTGAAGAGCAATAAATTTTCCACCAAGCTTCCAGAAACTCAAAAAGAACCTCTGGTCAATGGTTCAATTTAATTTTTTTTTTCAAAAATCTTACTTATTTTCCATTTGCATAAATTCCACTCTTGGAATGCCATGGTTTATTATTATTTAAATTTACCTTAGAAGTTAAACTCAAGGGGAATTATCTAACACATCAGACTCAAAATGAGCTGTGAATCTCCAAAGTTAATTTTACCCTCACGTATGTTAAGAAGGCTTCAAGATTCAAGTTCTTAACTGTCTTTTAACATTAAGAACTACTTATTCAGCAAAGTCCCTACATCACTTTAAATGTAAACCTCTTTAAAGCTAATATCAAAAACTGAATCTACAATCTTTAAAAGTTTTATAAAAGCAGCTTCTCAGTTTTTCTCCAATACATTTAACCTTGGTAACTTGACAAGCGAGTCTAAGTAAACAGTCATTTTTCCACATTTCAGCTGCTTCCAGCATTACGTAAACTTCAACATGAACAGGAGGAAAAAACAAGGCAAGATTCTATTCAGTCTGATGAACAGCTGTGCAAGTTGGTTGGTTCTTTTTTTAAAATATATATACATACACACAGAGTTTTCAAGAAATTGATTATGACAGATATGCCACAGAGCAGCCAGAAGTCATTGTGTCAGCATTGGTAACCATTTGGTGAAATCATATTGCCTGTGTTAGGTATGTTGGACTAAAATGCGATAATTTCTAGCCCATGATTCTAGAATCTTTTCAAGTTCGGGAGAGAGTTTCATTAGAAGATTTGCATCCAGTTCTTACTGTTTTCAAAGCAACTTAGGTATTTTCTGGAACCGCACAATTCGCCAGTAACAGGAAATCTTCAGGGGAAGTAGCTTAGATTTTATGTAGATTGCCTTTAGTGATAAAGGCAGGCAAGAGGCATGCAGCAATGGATCTCCCAACTCTCTACCAACAACAGTACTTCACCAGTTCTCTCGCAGACTTGAGAGATAAGGGGTTGTGCCTTAAAGTATATTGTCACAGAGATACATCAGGGCTCAACAGATGATTTCTGGATTTCAGTGGAGAGGCATAAGAGAGAAACTTATTTTCAACACCAATTCAACTTAGAAAAAGAATTTGCACTGCGTCTATTTTAAAAGTCTTTATATCATAATTGTCTGCAAAACACTCGTCAATCTTGGTTTAGATCAAAGTGGAATTAAATCCAGTTTTCTGTCTTAATATAGCTGCACTCACCCTTCATGAGAGAACAAAGTTCTCTCAAAACACACTGGAGCAGCATGAATGGAATGCTGATTGTACTTTATTCTCCCTCAAGTACCTCTTTGAAACCCAGGAAAGGAAAAGTGGGCAAATAGGAAGTTTGTAGTGTAAATGACCCATTCTGCAAGTGGCATTCACTTGGTTGCTTGTAGAAAAGAATTTTATGCTGATTTCTCTATCTGAAAGCTTAATATTAGTCTGACTTAATGAGTTCCACTTTGTAGTTGGAACACATATCATCCAGGAAATCCTTACAGTCCACATGGGCTTCACTGACACTGGTGATCTTCATTACTACTCCATAGAATGAATTACCTCTTCAGCTCCATGAAACTCTCAGGGAATGGAGGACGATTTTTCCAAATAAAATTTTTAAAAGTACTCAGCACCTTCAGACAAGATGAGATCCCACGCAACAAGACCCAGGCTAGAAACAGTGATTTCTGTTAGACAACTCAGCATAAAGAACACCGCTGCCACATTGACCAAAGGTTTGTTCGAGAGGCTTTTTACTGACAGCTGAGAGTTTCTGGTGTGTGTGTTTAAACCTCTATTTGAGGACACATTCTCTCAAAGGTTGGGTGCATACGAAAGAGAGGGATGGATTAAAAAAACCAAACAAACAAAAAACGTATTGTTCAAGTTGTTTGCTAGGTTGGTACATACCAGGATGTGTTCCTCATCCCAGAAAAGCTGCTGATACAGTTAAAATAACATTATAGCACTTTTTTTTGTTGAGAATATGCAACATAGTACTTCCACTTTAGTGAGCACAAAATTTGACAGGAATATTCCTTCCAGAAATACTTCATCAACTTACGTAATCACTATTCAACCAAGGGAAAACAGTAACAAAAAGCATCAAACTATCATATACTGTTTATATTCTTTAAAGAATTTGGCACATGGAGGCACTCCTCTACATACTTCAGAAAATGCCTGAACAGTTTTGATAGATCACCACCAGGAATTTTATACGTTTTAAAAAACAGTCATATTACAGAAGCAACATGGCAGGAGAAGGATGTTCATCCAGTGATCACATCCCGAACAAGTTCAAGTGATAAGTCGCTGCCCTGACACCGACGAAATAAATCATACGTATTATCGCCAATCTAAACTTTTAGTCTCAGAAAGCATCCTGTTCAGCTGACTCTGTCTTTTAATAAACATTCTTCTCCTCTTAGTTCACTGGTTTATTTTTTCAACTATTGTTTTCTCCTAGTTGCATATGCAGTATAGCCTCTTTCTTTCCAAAGGAGAAAAAAACCTTTCATGTAAGAGAAGATTTAATATTTGTTAAAGATTATTCTTCAAACATTATCCCCAAGTTACAGAACAGTTTGAGAACTCAAAGTTAATATTAATAGTCAGAAGTGTTTCTAATTACACCCAATAAAGCATTGTGAAAAATCCTGATGTCAGCATTTTAACTCAAAATAGCCTTGAAGAAATAACTTAAGAAGAATTTTTGCCTTCAATTCAACAGCAAGGTAAAGACGCCTCAGTTCAGCAAACAGCTAGAGATTTTTGTCCTAGAAACTCATTTCTGTTGACTGATCTGAAAACAAGAACCAGTACTTCACTGAAGGCCAAAGTTACACACACAATCAAATTTAAATTAGAAACCATCTGAAGCCTAGCTGTCAGAGTGTAGTAAGGTCCTAAAAGACCTTCAACATATCGCAGTCAGATTCTTCACCACTCATGAAAATAATCACTCTCTGCCTTGAAGTGTTTGCAAGAGCAAGACCTGCATGTGTAACACTGGAAGCTGCTTCAGGAATAAGATAAAAAGAAATTCAAGTATTCCCCTTAGAGCGAGCTAATCCTTTTTAGCACTGTGACTGTGAAGGATCACTTCTGTAAGGAACTCTGCACTCCAAACCATGTGATCTATCTAAATATTTACACTATGAACACTATTAAAACTCTCCTCTGAAGCCATTAAACATAGTATTTTCAGCAAGTGAAACAAAAACAATTACTATTTAGATTATTATTTAGTTTTAACTGTTCTTATCAGGTAGAAGCTGACCTGACTGCTCTCCTCAACTGCTCTTCATAACTCATGAGAGCCACACAGCTGTTGTTTTGGCTGAATATACTTTAAAATGTCAAATACCTACTTCCTTTCTGTTTTCTAAAAGAAAAAAGGAAGGGAGAGGGGGAGAGAGAAAGAAGAGGGAACCTAATTAGGATTTTCTTCTTTGTTACTATTTGTAACATTGGCACACAAGTTAGCAATCATGCACCCAAAAGGCTTTTTGTTCATCTCTCTGACCTCCGTAGCAATAGTTTTGGTGGTTTTTTCCCCTCCCCCCCTAAAGTATTACCAATGCTCAGAATGCTTTCTCCTCTTTTCGTTCAGGCTTATCCTTGCTTTCATGGCTTTCCCTGTGCTCTCTAGTCCTGTAAACTCTATACTGATGAAGATACAACCACAACAATCTTTTAATCAATGTACTTGACACTTTCTCCCATGCTAGAATAGATTGCTCCCAGTAATCAACTGGGAAGTACACTTGAAGCCCACTTTTACTCTAACTTTAAAATAAATCTATGAACTATATCTAAACTTTGGGAGAAAGAGAGAACGCATTATGTAAAAAAATACTCTGGGTAGAGAAGCAACCATCAAAACACATATCTCATATTCTGTATATCATTTCAGATTTGTATCTTCTGTGTTCTACAGTACCTGTCAAACGGAGCCCAGTAACTACTTAGCAATACAAGGAACTGTGAAGGAAGAAAATTACAGCAAAAATTAATACTTACAGCCATAATTAACTCAAAAGGGTGTTTATACACCCGTACGGGGGATTGATACTTCTGCACCATAGCTGCAGTTAGTAAGATCAACTCAAACCTGAAAAAGAAATTTTTAAAACCATCTGTCAAATGTAGGAAGCCATTTTCAGTCTTCTCTTACAATTATTCCGAGTGTGACCACACTAGCAATTCTATAGGAAATTCTTCACAATTCCTTGACGACTCCTCTTTTTTTGGGAAGATGCAATGGGGCCCTGAAAAGCTATGCATATTTTTGTCAGAAATGACTTATCATTTCTTCCAAAGGCGACAGAAAATTAGCACATTTTCAGTCCAGTTTTAGTAACAAGTCTTCACCACACTTTATGACTCTTCATCAGGATGGTGAGACTTCCTGTGCTGCTGCCGAGAACCAAACATTGACACATACCGGCTAAAGGCAGAAAAGCACTGCCCTGTCCCCCAGCACAGTAAGTGGGCGGCCTGGCTTATAAATGACTCTGAACTGGGATTGGTTTAAAAAAAAAAACAACAGAAATAAAAAAGGAGGTTAAAAAAATATACCAAGTGTTAAAAAACCTTGTTTTCAGAAAGAAAGAAAAAAAAAATGGATCACTACACCAAAACGATGTAAGGCATTCCTTCATCATATTCAAATCAAATTAAGACTTTTGAGAGAGAAACTTGAGAGAGCTGGGGAAGAAACAAACCTTACAGAAACTACAAACATTCCAATTTATGGCCAAAAAAAAATTCACTAGCAAAAAACAGACAGGAGCTATTCCAATGGCTTCGTGTCTGCTTTCCCCAGCAAAGTGTTTGACTCAAACTCTCTTGAATGAGACTTTGAATGAGAGTTTGACCCAAACTCTCTTCTCTTTTATTGAAAAAACACTGGCAGTAGCACTCGCAGATGAAACCACAGGCTGCTAGCCAGACTCATTTTGGCAAGAAGCGGCTTTATTACAGTAAGTCAGCTTTACTTTTATTTTTTTTAACGCGTTCTCACGTTATCTACAGTGCTTCTGGAAAGCGTTATCAGCTCCAGCTAAGGAGTACGGCAGATGGGCACCGCAGCTTCTCAGACACGAGAAGCAGAAAACAATAAATCCAAGAGTCACAAGAAAGTTCACCCGACATCCTAGTCAGGAGAGGAATTTACCCATGACTACCCTGCATTTTAAAAAAACACCTGAATCAGCAAAAAAAGCCGCAAGCAAACCCTCTCTAATCCTTGGACAAAAAGAGTTACACAACAAAGAAACTCAACGTCTCTTTTCACCGCTCGCCAGGACGGCGCTGCCCTCGC